CGCCGGGCATAGGCGGCGGAACGGGGAGGGCACCGGGGCACCGTGCCCCCTTTGATTTTGGCATTTTAACATTAGCCCTATGGGCGTTGCATGCAAAGAATGGAACCAAAAGTCGGCAGTGCCCCCCCCCCTTGCTTGAGGGTGTTCCGCCGCTACTGTCGCCGGGGCTGAGTCCGCCTGTTAGAACAGGCCGACCACCCCCCTCCCCCTCCTTAAGCACTCACCGCACCCGGCTACGGGCGTGCTCTTATCGGGCAATCCCATATGTGATAAAGTTGCCCGTCCAGCCCGGAACAGGCGATTGCGGCGCGGAGGAAAGGATGTAACTGTGCTTAGGATGGAAGCGACGGAACGGGTGTACGGAGACTTTGTCCCGCAATGCCCAATAGTTGGCCTGTTCCAGTCGCACTTCCTAACACTTCTTAACACGCGCAGTGGAAGGGGGGGGGCGGATTTCGCCCACCTCTCCTGTTTTTAGCCAATAACTCGCGCCGCAAACATGATATTATTGTGAAATTTGGGCTACCTGTCCAAAATTGAATTGCGGATCTTCTCGTGCATAAAATAAGAAAATCGGTTCGCAACTTTTCTAGTAATAGCGGTGTAAAGTCAAACATTCTGCCGCCGCGGCGGCGCGGCGGCGCGGCGGCCGGCGCTAGCCGTTACGCGCCGCCTGAATTGTAGACTGTGCCGGGGCGGGAGGTTCCGTCTTTACATCGCGCTCCTTACCGCTGATTATATTCGATTCGCGTCAAATTTGGCGAAAAGACTAAGAAATGTACAGGCAATCATATGGTCAAAGAATTTTGAAAATCGGCCGGTAAAAACTTGAGTTATGAGTGTGTAAACACAAAATTGTGATTGCCGCTTTTCCCGCGTCCGCCGATCCCGCTTCGGCCGGCGACATCTTACCCTTAGCAGGCTTCTAACTGCCATATTTATTGTTTGATTAACTAGAAATTCACCATACATACTCACAAATGTATGTTCTTTCGTATAGTGAAAGAAAAAGGAAATCGGCCGGTAACTTTTTGAGTTATCGGCGTGTAAACGCAAAAAAGTCGCTCATATGGCAGATTTGACCACATTTGACCTCATTTGACCTTGAAGATATTGACCTAGGGTCATGAAATTCACACACAACAGAGTTCCCCAGGGCCCCCACGTACCCTCCAAATTTCGTCTCCTAGCTCCATTGGGAGCTGAGATCTTAGGGGGGGGCGCCATCCGTCCCCCCCCCCCTTCCACTGGGCGTAGTACTCGCAACCCTTCCACTGCGCACGGTTCGTCGGAAGGTCATCTCAGGCTCAAAAGAAACGGTATATACCATTCGAAAGCTGACGGTGAGCTGAATCCAAAAATGTAATTTTTATCAAAATCGATCGATGGCCTTTTTTGAAAATTGCGTTTTTGTAAAAACTTTATAATTTTTTATTCAACGGGCTGTCCCGGGTACTCTTGAAAACATAAACATGTGTTTTCGAGTTCCAGTGAAAGCTGAACGCCAAAAGAACAATATTTAGCGAAGCAATATTTCCTAACATTAATATGCTTCTCCCACAGCCGACAATAAGGCGCAATCACACAGCTCAGTGTCACGATGGACCAAAGTCGGCCACACAGAAGCGTGAGATGACCTTTATCGACTCGCAGACCCAGCGCTCTCGGCCCGCCTGACCAGCCACGGAAAGAACGTTCGGCTCTCGTTCTACTAAATAAATGTCATATTTGTCAGTTTAACTGTCCACATCGCTATTAAAGTTATTCAGGATACCTGTGAGGAAAATTCATTGTTCTGCTTGATTTACAACATGCTTTAATTTACATTTTTGTTATACATGTTTTGTTCCATCCAGCTGCGCTCAGTGCCCGCGCAGGTGAAGTGAGCGGGGTTTCACTGTCAGAGGCTGTACTGGTGACAGCTGCTCGGCCGTGCGACCGGTCAAAGGTTACCCTGCCCCACCGGGCGCTACCCCCACTCCACCCGAGCTGAGGCCGGTGCAACCTCTGACATTTCAGCGCGGCCAATTTTCCTTATATGGGCATGATACCAAGCTCAATTGAGCAAAGTAGACATGAACAAATGCAAATTAATGCATGATGTGAAGATGACCGAGCAATGAATCCTGCTCATGTATCCTGAATATCCTGCTCATGTATCCTGTATCCTGAATAACTCAAGTACCGACTTGAATCGTTAAACTAACAAATATGACGCCCGTTTAGTAGAACGACAGCCGAACCTCCTTGCCGTGGCCGGTCAGGCGTGCCGAGAGCGCCGGGTCTGCGAGTCGATAAGGGTCATTTCACGCTTCTGTGTGGCCGACTTTGGTCCATTGTGACACTGAGCTGTGTGATTGCGCCTTATTGTCGGCTGTGGGAGACGCATATTAATGTTAGGAAATATTGCTTCGCTAAATATTGTTCTTTTGGCGTTCAGCTTTCACTGGAACTCAAAAATACATGTTTATGTTTTCAAGAATGTCCGGGACAGCCCGTTGAATAAAAAAATATAAAGTTTTTACAAAAACGCGATTTTCAAAAAAGGCCATCGATCGATTTTGATAAAAATTACATTTTTTGGATTCAGCTCACCGTCAGCTTTCGAATGGTATATATCGTTTCTTTTGAGCCTGAGATGACCTTCCGACGAACCGTGTGCGCGTGTTAACTCCTCCAAGAGCAAGACAGGGGAGGTTGGAGCAGGGCCCTCCTTGGCTTTGTAGGGGTTAGAGCTGCCACTGGAATAGGGAAGCAATCTTGGATGAGTTTAGCGGTGTTAGGAAGTGCGACTGGAACAGACCCAGTGTCTACTGTCTAGTCCCTCTTGGAAGTATCGGTGCACTGATGGGAGGGCGCCACCTGTCCCAGCCGCAGGTGAGCGGAGTTTGAGTCGCTGAGCGCACCGAACGGTGCCTGACGCGTGACAGTAGCCGGCGGGGCGGGGCGAGGGCGAGGAGGGAAGGGAGAGGTAGTCGCCATCCAGTAGGTAACTTGCGATGGCAAATATGTGTGGTCGACGCCATTGGTTTCGTTTGAGCTGGTATGACCAAAGACCTACCAATAATTTTGGCGCTGTTAACTATATTCGCGGAATGGTGTGAGAGTGTTTTGTTTCCTAAAATAAACCATTAGAGCACTACCAATAAAGTTCTAAAAAGTAAGCCTTGGTAAATGGAAGTCATCCGACCCGTAAAAATGGCTGGAAACTCGACCTTATCCTATTAAGTGACGTACTTTCCTATTTACGGCATTTGGCAACATGCATCATTCAGGATGCTGGTGGCCTGTCGGCAAATGCCCATCCGAGTCGACGAAACGATTCATGGGAACGTCTTTATACAATGGACTAAAAGGCGAAAAATGTATTGTGCATGTGATAGCCGTTTTCTGCATCGTGGTCATCCATAAATTACGTTACGCATAAGGGGGAGGGGGATTTCGACCGAGCGTAACGATAGTGTAGGGGGAGGGGGGCTACATCGTAACGTTACAAAAAAACATCACTTAAATTTAGTGATCGACGCAGGCGAATAAATCAGTTCGTACGCAAATGTACCGGAGAACTGTAAACACCATCATGTGACTACACCCTAGCCTCGCAATGCATCAGAAGATCGTGGGATTTGTGCCTTACAATTGAGCAGTTTGGTCGGTTTCAGTGTAAAAGAATGTTGTGCGGAACATGATACCTCATAAAAAGCGAGAACAGGGAAGTTTTTTTACGTTACAAGGTCATTAGCGTAACAAGGGGGAGGTGGTTGGAGCTAGCGTAACTTAACCCTCGCCGGACCTATTGGTTTTCTACATACGCGCCGGCCGAGGGGGGCGGGTACGACCCCCCTCGCCGTTTCGCCCCTGGTGGAGCTAGCGCGTCGCGGAAAAACGAGCGTGTGCGCCGTTGCGAGACGCAGAGATTGGTACCCGATTTTAAGGTCCTAGGTTTGGTCAACGGGTGACCTCTGAGGTCAGGTCAAGTGCCCCAAGGTACGTTTCAGTTTTTGGTGAATAACTTCGCAAAAAACGGTCGCAGAGCGCCGATTTTGGCAGCATCGTGTTCGCCTCGCTCAGGCGCGTCGAATGATATACTTTTTGTTTGGGTCAGGTCAACTTAGGGTGTTGACCTCAGGCCAAGGTCAGGTCAGTGCCCCCATGTCACGAACTTGGTCGAAAGAGGTCATGTCGCATATCATTTTATTCGGCAGGTCTTCCTGAGTCCATTGGTGGCTTTCCCGACTCGCTAGCTCAATTTGATCTGGAGTTATTGACGAAAAACTAATATGACCTTGATGACGTCATAAATGACGTCACGCAAGGTCAACATTGCAAAAGTGACGCGTCTAACCTTGCAGGGAGTGCATCAAATCACGATTCTGTGTGCTTGAGATAGTTGGAGATCGCTCCCGGTGCCAGAATAGCAGTTTTTATTTTCCCCATTGACTTATAATGGTGAGGTCACGAAAATGACCTGACCTCATATGACCTTTAGGAAAAATCCGAGATATGCAAGTTGTGAGACTCGTAATGGATACTAGATCCTGCAAGTTTCATTCCCCTGTGACATCTCCTCTGGCTGTGGGGGCGTTGCGAAGTTGCGACATCTGAACACCGTGCAGAGGTTCACTTATGACGTCATAGGTCAGTGACCTGACCTGACCCGAAAATGCGGTTGGTGTCAAAAGATCCGGCTTGATTGAAAGGTCAGGTATGCCAAGTTTCAGCTCTCTTTCGCCAGCGTGTTCGGAGCTATCGCGAAAAAAACTTTATGGGGGGGCGGCACCCGCCCCCCCCCCCCCTCGGCCGGCGAGGGTTACCTAAACCCACTAAGATGAACAATGAACATTTTAGCTAAGCGATCATGCTCTGTTTTTGTTTGTATGTTTCGTAGATAATGCCGAACGTGAATGCTGGGCTAGATGTGACAATCGTGCAGTTTGGGTCAGATAGCCATCTTTTTACGCACGATCATTCAGACATCCGCCAACCCAAATTTACTCTGCATCAGGTTATAGTGTATTAACTTTTCATGGTAATCATCACGCATTGATAACACTGGGGTTCATGTAAAAGCAATAGTAAAAGCATTGTGCCACTGGAGAAAGCGACATTTAAAGATCCGCGAAACACCAGCTCACCGTGGATTTGTTCCACCGAAACTGCGCTGTCTTCCCCCAGTTTATTGGTGGAACCTACTCCCGCATCAGGCCATCGATCCCAGAACCACAGCCGGCTGTTTAGGGCACTGTAACGGGCGTGGTGGGAGGCGTAGTGGTGGTGGGAGCTGGCGTGGTGGGGGTGGTCGGGCCCGTGGTGGGAGTGGACGGAGCCGGTGTCGGGGCCGGGGCCGGGGCCGGACCTCTGAAGCCCGGCCTGAGGAAATTCCTGAGGAAGTTCCTCCAGAAGTTAAAGAAAAGCTGCTGCGATTTGGCTCCTCCGTCGACGGTGGAGTTTAAGAACACCTCCACATCCTCCGGCGTCGTGATGTTGACCAGCATGTCGCTGGAGATGTTGAACGGGTTGTTGCCGATCTCGATGGGACCGGCTGCTGCTCCCAGACATCCGCGCAGCTGTGGAGACATCAGACGGAGATCATTGGGCCATTATAGCTAGACAATGAAACCCAAACGAATGCGATGGAAAATGTTACTAACAAATAACAATTCAAATATTTAACATCTGCAACGTACGTTTTGCTTTGAACATCGACCGAAATGAATTCATGTGTTATAACCAATCGTTAAAATCAATCAGCGTGGGATCTGCTGGATCTCTAGTTTTACACACTGCAACGAGAAGACATCGCTGCTACTGTGCATTCTCATTTAGGGACTCAAAAGAAGTAAAAGAAAAGCAATTTGTGAAAAGTCAGCTAAAATGGGGATACCGGATAATTGTTAATTTTTATATCTATCTCGCGTTTACATTGTTCATTAGCCCTTGCTAGAACTAGAAATGATTGATGCCTTCTAAGATTTAATTTTTACGTGTACTGTTTCTGGAGATGATTTCTCGAAAGCTTATGCCGTTTTTCGCTGCTCGGCTGAGAAGCGATGGCTCCGTCCAGCAGTGCGTAGAAATTCGTGTCGTCCAGGGGCGCGAGGGCTGCTGCCATTGGTGATAGTTATGCTTTTCACCGTATGAACGCTGCCAGCTGATTGTGAACATCTGATCAGTCGCTAAGTATCATTCAGTGATTGGATCCCCTTGTGTAATTTGGGCTGCCTGCAATGTAGCCGTCAACGTAGGTGTGTGCATTTATTAGCGTGGATCGACACAATGTGATTATTATATAATGAATATTGTGTCATTGCGGCTCCCCTATCGAAATACCTGTTTTGGTCACATGACTAAACTGCGGCCAGCGGCCTTGTCATGCGTGCTTCTAACAGTTCGCCCGTTTTACATAATCCTCCTTTATTACATAATCCCCGGTTATTTCGTGTTGCGCATCAGCGCATTGCACATGTGACTTCCGCTTCAAAGGTAGAATGACATGGAATCTGGATGGTCCGATGCGCTGCCAGTGCCCAGTGCCATTGTCTGCACTCGACTCCAGCGCGTGCAATCGGCCGGCCAGTTATGTTAGATAAAAACGTAAACAGATTGATGATCAAATCTCATTTGGTTATTTAATTAGCGCCCGGGTGGGGGTCTCAACCAACTTTGCCATGATGGGGGCCTAATACGCCCCGGGGCGTAGTAGGTTACACGAGGTTATCTCGAAAAGTGAGAAAGCTAGAGAGCCGCGGGGAAAACAATAGGTAGCTCGCTATAAGATCTTTCAGAATCATTCGGGTCATTTTTCAATCAGGTCATCGCTGAGGTCACTGGAGGTCACCAAAAGAAAAATTATCACGAACAAATTTTCCCAATTTCGATTATTGTTCACCAATCGACACGTTACTGGGTAACGAATAGGGCTACATCGCCGCGGGAAGCGCATTCGATAGCTCTTTCTGAGTAATTTTCTCAGATTTGACGTACCTATAGTAGTGCCAACGGGTGGGCCTCCAGAAGGCAAAAAAAATGAAAATAAAATTAAACGTTTTGCGGAACACGTTTTCTGCAATATCTTTTGACGACGCCAACATTATATAAAGTCGATTTTACCGGCACCGTTTACGGAGGTCTATGGTTGACCTGAAAAGGTCAACTTCACAATCCAATCTTAGGTAAAGGTCAAAGGAAATGCCATGCTGCATGTCAGTCGATTCGTATCTTGGAGATGAACACATGTAAGATGTTTTCATCGCTCTGGTAATGCCTATCTAAAGTTTGTTGTCAAAACTGGTCAAAACCAGTCAAAACTTTGTTAAGGCTGAAACAGACTCTTTCCGCATTCAGGAAATCGCATGCGAGAGCCTATTCAAATACATTATAATGCTTCCCGCATCAATCGCATCCGGAAGGTGCGTGCGATTGGTGCGAGCGTGCTTCCATGTATTTGAATAGGCTCTCGCATGCGATTTCCTGACTGCGGAAAGAGTTTGTTTCAGCCTTTAGAGTCCTAGAGAGACCTATAGACATGCAAAAGCATTAAAACATCCTCCCCTTCAGCGGGACACGGGTTCATAAGTCGCCAGATTTTACCACAGGTCAACATTTTTCATTTGAAAAAATCAACTTCCAATTTTTTCACTAAAAGTGTTACGAAAACAGACAAAACAAATGCTCGATTATTTAGGTGAAGGAAGGAACCGCTCAGCAAACGTAAGTGCATTTTTATCCCATTTTCAATCAATATTTGTTGACTACCCTACCTGCACTGCGAAGGCCATCGACAGAAGGACGGCGGTCGTCGGCCTCATGTCGTCGTGTCGGATCTGTCTGAGGTCAGGTCCCAGGTCGATTTGCAGAGCTGTGGTGATGCTGGCTGGGCAGTGGATGTCCGTACTGGTCTCCTGTCCGTGGCCGACTGCGCGCTGCTGATTTGACTGTCGCCCTGGCAGGGTGTGAAGGGAGTCGCCCCGCCATATCCGACCCCTCCAAACTGGCGTGGAATCCACACTGCGGAACTACATGGGGGAGCGGTATGCCCCACAGCTAACTCCAATGGCATGTCACCGTCGCTTATCCCCGCTGATCGTGTATTGCTCGCAGCGCTGTGACAATGGCACCGATTGTGAGTCACTACTGCCCGGTGTAACCGGGGTGCATTGCGCTCTGCTGGGTCACCCACTGATGTGGGAACCCTCCCTCCCCTCCGGAGGGCGGCAGCTGATTCAGAGCAGATCTGACCGATCCCCGTCGCACTGCTGGTAATTGCTGGATCTCGTTAACTGTCGCTAAACAGCAGGGTGGGGTCATGACTCTCCAGTCTCCCCTCGACCCGTCTGCGATGTCCTATTGGTGTCGGTGACCTCTGTTCCGACGTCCTGTGGGCTGTGACCTCTGGTTCCGTGTTTGTGTCCTTTACTAATCTCCCCTTGCGTCCCGCCCTGGGGCGGATGGGAGCCGTGGCTTGAAATCTCCCAGAGACACGCCATGGTGACTAAGTGTTTTTATCTTCCATTAAGGCCGGGGTGGTTTGCTTTTTACCCGCGCCCTGTGGGGTTATCGGTGGACCCTGCCACTGCACTTGTAGTGTAGGGGGAGGGGGATGGGCGTTTCGTCTCCCTCCCCTCAAGATTTCGGAAAGTTACCGACCGATTTTCAAAGTTCAAACGGTGTCTGATAGCGCCCCACCGGGGAACTAGCTTGTGACCGAATTTCATTGACCTAGGTCCAACCGATGACGTCACAGGTCACAACCCAATCTTAACAATGCCAGGAATAGGATTTGGCAGCACTTGCCGGAGTTACCGTCAATAATATTAAATGTATTCGTTGATTTACGTTCAGCTAAGCTCGTCGAATGTGTTTAATGCGTGAATGATTATGCATGTTGCATGACTGAATGAATTAATGAATGTTCAAAGATTATGAATGTTGCCAAATGCCGTGAATGCGCGTACTCACGGCATTTGGTTAGATTGGGTCCCGTAGTCAAAGGTCACATTTTCACCGTTTACAGGCATTCTAAGAATATATATTCCCGACCGGGGCTGGGAAAATGCGTTTTATTCACCGAGGTTTTTGTGCGGAGGACCGAGTGCCGGTAGGCACGAGGTCCGTAGCCAAAAACCGAGGTGAATAAAACTGCATTTTCACAGCCCAAGGTTGGGAAGAGATTTACCACATGCCGTACCGGCGCAACAGTTAATATCATATTCATTTGGTATTATATATTATATTCTTAATATGGTGTTAATATTCTATTAATACTATGTTCATATTTATAGTCACCGCGATTATTTTTGGTGTTTTTCATTATTGGGCGGCGCTGGCCGTTGAGTATGAAAGATGAAATTCCTTACTTTTCCCTTATTTAGGGATTGAAAAAGCTGAGGATGAAGATGGTGAAGCGCCAGAAGTTAGAATAAACTATAAAGATATGGAGTCCAGCAGGAGTGAGGAAACCGTGAGGCGTGAGGAAAACTGAAAATTGGGTGAAACGCTGAATCAAACGCGTCTTAGATCCCAGCTGGAACAATATCCAAATGTTTCATTGTGGCTCGTTAAGATGCTTCGCGCATTTAAAGTGTTCGTTTTTTGCGTGCATTATGTTGTAATAATGAGTAGGTACTCTGACCTTGTTCTGCAGCAATAAATACATTGGCATTGGAACGATACCTACCCTTGTTTAGTTGAATTACGTTGACAGCAAAAGTAAGTGAAAACGCCGTCACTTAATTTTGCTCACTTCTGCTGTTGCTGTTAGTGAACACACAATCCGAAAATATCTTCTTTGGATTTGGTTCTTCCGCTCAGAATATTCAGTAAAACTTTGTCTGGGAAAATCAAAAAGCCCTAGGGCCGAATCGTTTCCCAAATACCTTCAACATTAGCCGAGGCGGGCCGAAGCCATTTCCCAAATGCACGTGCTAATGTTAAAGGGATATCTCGGCATGTGGTAATATATATTCCCGACCGGGGCTGGGAAAATGCGTTTTATTCACCGAGGTTTTTGTGCGGAGGACCGAGTGCCGGTAGGCACGAGGTCCGTAGCAAAAAACCGAGGTGAATAAAACTGCATTTTCACAGCCCAAGGTTGGGAAGAGATTTACCACATGCCGTACCGGCGCAACAGTTAATATCATATTCATTTGATATTTTACACTTTAATCTTAATATTGTGTTATAGTTCGTTTTTTTTAAGTTTGCCCCTCACTGTAAACGTCTTTTTGAACATAGCACGAGAATTGCTAGCTGAATTACTGAGAAAACTGGTTGGCGCACACTGATTTAACCAGATTTCACAGACGATCAATTTCATCAAATTTATTTACTATTTCACAGACTCGTAAATCGTATCTGTCAATACCTACAGCCCCACAGGGATAGACGACTTCTCAGGAATTATGTCTGAACTAATAAATAAATTGCACGGCGCTTAACATAACGTTAAATCGTCGGTGTTCAAAACTTATTTTTGAAAATATTATTCATATCTACAATACAATGTGCGCTAACCAGTTTTCTCAGTAATTCAGCGAGCAATTCTCGTGCTGTGTTCAAAGAGACGTTTACAGTGAGGGGCAAACTTAAGAAAAACGGACTATAATATTATATAAATACTATGTTCATATTTATAGTCACCGTGATTATTTGTTTGTGTTTTTCATTATTAGGCTGCGTGCCGTTGAGTATGAAATGTGAAGTTCCTACTTCCCCCTTATTTAGGGTTTGAAAAAGCTGAGGATGAAGATGGTGAAACGCCAGAAGTTAGAATAAAGATATGGAGTCCAGCAGGAGTGAGGAAACCGTGAGGAAAACTAAAAATTGAGTGAAACGCTGAATCAAACGCGTCTTGGATCCCAGCTGGAACAATATCAAATGTTTCATTGTGGCACGTTAAGATGCTTCACGCATTTAAATTGTTCGTTTTTTGCGTGCATTATGTAGAAATAATGATTATTCCGACCATGTTCTGCAGCAATAAATACATTGGCATTGGAACGATAACCTTGTTTAGTTGAATTACGTTGACAGCAAAAGTATGTAAACACGCAGTCACTTACTTTTGCTGTTGCTGTTAGTGAACACACAATCCATAAATATCTTCTTTGAAATTGGTTCTTCCGCTCAGAATATTCAGTAAAATCTTGTCTGGGAAAATCAAAAAGCCCTAGGGCCGAATCGTTTCCCAAATACCTTCAACATTAGCCGAGGCGGGCCGAAGCCATTTCCCAAATGCACGTGCTAATGTTAAAGGGATATCTCGGCATGTGGTAAATGTGTTTTAAAATCGAGTAAAAGGCATGGTATTGAAAATCATTACTTGTCCAAGCACAAGTTATTACGGAGCGAGCGAAGCGAGCGGAGTCTTTCCTTAGATTAACGGAAATTTCTGAGTATGAGCGGCCGGCCGGCCGGCCGGCCGGCCGGCCGGCCGGCCGTGCGGACGCTTTTGCGAGGCTTATATCTCAGCAACCACTTGACCGATTTACACGCGGTAATTTTTGTAGGGTAGCTTCATTCCTTCTACCAAGTATTGGACTATTCCCGATGCGTGTGGGTGACCCCTTATGCACGTGCCACGTGCAAAACGAAGAGGTGTCAGTTTTGTAATTGTTGCAATATCTCGGTAACTACTTGGCCGATTGCGCTGAAAGTTGGCATGTAGGTAGGCACCTACTAGGCACTGCATATCCATGTGCCAGAGTTGGGGTGCTGCTGCACGTGCGCACGTGCAGGGGTCATTTCCAGATCTCGAGAACGGCTGGACCGATGGCGCTCAAATTTGGTACACGGTTAGGGACCAGTTAGTAGGGTGCCGTGCACAAGTCAGTTGGGACCCATTTTGCACGTGCGCACGTGCAGGGTGCCGCTCCCAGATCTCGAGAACGGCTGGGCCGATTGTGCTCAAATTTGGCACATCGCTAGAGACCGGTCAGTAGGGTGCCGTGCACAAGTCAGTTGGAGGTACCCCTCGAAATTTCGCACGTGCAAGACTCACCCCCTCGCTCGCTCCGTTAGTCGCCCCAAAAGGCGCTATACTGGTTACAGAGCGAGCGAAGTCTTTCCTTAGATTAACGGAAATTTCTGAGTATGAGCGGCCGGCCGGCCGGCCGTGCGGACGCTTTTGCGAGGCTTATATCTCGGCAACCACTTGACCGATTTACACGCGGTAATTTTTGTAGGGTAGCTTCATTCCTTCTACCAAGTATTGGACTATCCCCGATGCATGTGGGTGACCCCTTATGCACGTGCCACGTGCAAAACAAAGAGGTGTCCGTTTTGTAATTGTTGCAATATCTCGGTAACTACTTGGCCGATTGCGCTGAAAGTTGGCATGTAGGTAGGCACCCACTAGGCACTGCATATCCATGTGCCACAGTTGGGGTGCTGCTGCACGTGCGCACGTGCAGGGGTCGTTTCCAGATCTCGAGAACGGCTGGACCGATGGCGCTCAAATTTGGTACACGGTTAGGGACCAGTTAGTAGGGTGCCGTACACAAGTCAGTTGGGAGTTGGGACCCATTTTGCACGTGCGCACGTGCAGGGTGCCGCTTCCAGATCTCGAGAACGGCTGGGCCGATTGTGCCCAAATTTGGCACATCGCCTAGAGACCGGTCAGTAGGGTGCCGTACACAAGTCAGTTGGAGGTCCCCCTCGCAATTTCGCACGTGCAAGGCCCACCCTCTCGCTCGCTCCGTTAGTCGCCCCAAAAGGCGTTATACTGATGCTAATTGAGGTCACTTATACCAAGTCAGGTCACTCAGGGTCACAATATGAACAAGCGTCGTGTGATGCGAGATTTATGGTCCATTTTACATGGCAGATGCGATTATGTGGGTTAGGGGACCATTGGGACCAGTTTAGGTTACGTTCTGGTGAAGGTCCGGTCAAAATAAGGTCAAATTTCGAAGTAGATATTTTTGCATGAAAATGATATCGATTCACGCAGCCTGTCACGTGGAGTCTAATGATGGTATTTGTTTTGCGCTACGTAGTCTAGAACGGATAAAAATTG